ACACCTTTCCTAAATAATCAAAGACATTGAATCAAACTATTGTAAACTCTCCTTGTGGATTGATTCAAAGCTTTCGTTTCTGCAAAATTGAGAAAGAAAAAGGAAGCAAACGCTTGAATATGAATTAAATCATACAAAAGAAAAAGTTAGTCAATCATTTGTTTCATTTAGGTAGTTCTTTCTCACTCTTCTGCCTGTGCAAACCTGGTCGGCGGAGACCGAGGAAAACTCCCCGGAAACGCGGGAAACTTGAAAAAGCGGGTTATAAACTTCGCAGATTGCGTGCTAGGTAGAGGATTTCGGAATTTATCGATGTGCCCAAAGTGAGAATTTTTCGAGCGAATTTACCCTTTAAAATTGTGATCACTTGGCTGTATCTTTAGCATACAACAGATCCATTCACGCCATGGTACCACTTTCGATTTTTCTCGATCTTTGAAAGAAAAATCTCGAGATCAGTGTTGAATCCTAAGTAGTAGTCGAAGTTATAGTAGTAGATCCTAAGCGCTGGATCAATTCCGCTTGGTCCCGAGGCTCCCCGCGCGATTCACCGGACTCGGGAGCTTTTCTGACCAGCAGCCTGATTGTTGAAATTTTGTGTTTGTTGGGTCGAAATAGAGGCCATAGGCTAAAAGGCGGAGCGTGATTGGTCGGCTAAGTCTTATCGCTGCTTTGTCGTGCCTTTGTCAGGTGGAATGGACGACATACCGTCGGAAACTTAAGAGGTACCGTTAGCTTGTCGTGAGTTCAACCCGACATAGGCACGACAAAGGACTACGGTGCAATGAGCCACAGATCCTGGCGCCACGCTCGGATCTCGGCTAAAATTCGGGCTCAACGCCACGGAGTGTGGCGCTACACTCCTGCAAAATCCTCAAATTTCCCTTATGATTAAAACCGCTTAAGTGCTGGTGCAATATGCCACAAAGTTCAGCTTACAGTTGACTTTCCGCTCATCTTTGACTTCCGTAAAAAACTGCCCAACCAACTTTGATAAACTTTCGAGCGTGCCGCCACACACCAGCGCAAGAAAAAATCCGGGCCCAGCGCCACAGGGCCGAGCGCCACAACTCACGATTGCATATCGCCAGGATTACGGGCGCGCATCGGGTAGCGAGGCCCACGTCGCGTCGCATCGGACCTGACCCAACCCAACCTAACCTAACCAAACCTAACCTAACCTAACCTAACCTTCGGTGGATTAGGCCCTGTGGCGCTGGGCAGGGATTTTTTCATGCGCTACTGTGCGACGCGGGCCTGCCTACCCGATGCGCGCCCGTAATCTAGGCGATAGGCAATCGAGAGTTGTGGCGCTCGGCCCTATGGCGCTCGGCCCAGATTTTTTCATGCGCTGGTGTGTGGCGCCAAGCTCGAAAGTTTATCAAAGTTGGTTGGGCAGCTTTTCTATGCAGCCAGCGATCAGATGAGCGGAAAGTCACCTTGGTACCAGGACCCGAGATGGGATGTGGCGAACCTGCATGAAGGCTATTTCCGTTTAAATCTTCTGTCACATTCATACGGCGCAGTGATACAACTATTTGAACTCTCCGGAATGCGTAAGGTATCACGCCGCATTTGAAGGCGTTTTCAAAACAGCCAAGTTCCGATACCCGGGATATCGTTTTGCATAGTAGTTCATATTCTTTTATTTTATTCCGTACCACTCGTTTATATTTAATCCTCGAAGAAAAACCACCCATTTGCTAAATACAATTCCACCGGTACCGGGGCCCGTGTTACCCGTGAAAAACCACTACGAATTCACATGCAACCCTTGTTTCGTAAGAAAAAGTGAAAAATTTACCCTAACAATTTCGCAAAAGGTGAGTAGATTTTCAGAAACACGCTGGGGCACTGTAGAATTTTTCTTAAATTTTCAAAGAAGTATACTTCCTGGAAAATTTCTGTCTATTTTCAAGATTTTCAGTACAGAGGGGTATTTTTTGTAACTGCGTTTCATTTTCTTCCGTCGTCAGATGCTAAGGGTCTCCAGTCAGGGCATCCTCGACTTCAATGGCTCATGGCTCAACTCCCTTGCCATAGACAAACGAAGGGGGAGTCCAGGGGGGCCTGGCCCTCTTAGAACTGAAAATAGTATCATATGCCCCCCCCCCTCCAAAAAAAAAAAAATAAAAATAAAAATGCTCCCGATGTTTTAAAAGCAACAATTCGCAAGTATTTTGTGCTGAAAGTAGAAAAAAAAAACATAATTATTCCGCAGAAATTGATGGAAAAATTCTTTATAGAAGCTTCAAAATGCGTCCGATTAGTCGTATAAATTCTAAAATTTCTCGGGGGATGCCCCTCGGACCCCCCTCCCTCCGTGCTTGGGGCCCGGACCTTAAAACTGGTACCAGGGCCCGAGATGGAATATGGCGGGCCTGGTCGCATGTTGCTTTGAATGTTAATTCTGATTTTTTTGTATCGTAAAATTTCCTTTAGGTGATGCATGTTATTAATTACTATTCTTTCCGCAGGTTAATTTTATTTTGTACCCTTTCTTTCCTTCTTGTCTTTTTGCCATAGGCGTAGCTAGGCCATTTTGCTGGGGGGGGGCCTGGCCCCCCACCACCGGGGGGTCTGGGGGGTATGGAATACCCCCCAGGTCAGCGGGGGGTCCGGGGGGCCTCCCCCGGAAAATTTTTGAAATTTTAACTCTATTTGAGCGCATCTCGAGGCACTTGTGGCGTTAATCTTCCTTCAATTTCTGCATAAAATTCACCCAGTTTTATGCATTTTAAGGTTAAAATACTTTGAAATTGTTGCATTCAACAGGTTATTCCATTTATTTTCTCACTTTTAACCACTCATTTGTGTGAAAATTGCGAAATAAATGTTTAGTGAATGCCAGAATCATTGTTCTGTATTAGGAAAAGCCCATGCAAAGTAAAATATAATATAATGAGCAAGACGTAACTATGAACGAATGAGCATTTGTCATGTACCAAAAAATAAAGATATGAATTATGAATTAGAAAAAAATCGATTGCATCCAGATTTTTTAGAGCAATTCAACTGAATAATGAACCGTTTTTGCACCATCCAGAATTTCTGGGGCGGGGGGGGCCAGATGATACTATTTCCAATTTTGGGGGGGGGGGGCCAGGCCCCCCCTGCCCCCCCCTTCCTACGCCACTGCTTTTTGCCTCCTAACGCATTTTGGTGGTGGGTTTTTTTGTTTGTTTTCGCTTGCAAAAGAACAAGGAGGAAAGAACGACGTAAGTTCCAGTCGCGTTCTCATTAAAGTCCCCATATATGCCCTCCCTTGCTTGAAGTTATCTAACTTCAGTAGCTGTTTTGTTTTTTTTTTCAATTTTTTTTTTTTTGTAATTAATTTTCAGTCCCCTCTCCCCCCAAACAGAGAGTGGGTCTAGGAATTTTAAATATTCTAACGCCCAGTAAATTTCGAACGGGGGGCGGTACGATACCGTAGCTTTGGTTCGGGGTCGCAGTGGTGCTTAAACCTCCGTTAGACGACTTGCGGCCATCGCTTTCCTGATGACGGCTGAATCCATGACCAGGACCCAGTATGGCGCGATGCTTGAGGGTGGAGTAGGAAACCCCTTCGGCGAAAAAAATAATAAAAGAAGGTCCATTTGCATAGGCGGGAGGATATATGTAAAACTTCTTCATCCCTCTCTGTTTCTTTTCTTTTAATTCGCGGTAAAAAGTGGATCGGTAGGCCTAATGGGGATGTTCAACCACTATAAAGAAAGGAACAACGCGCCACTGAACTTACCTCTTCAGAAATCATGTTTTTGCGATGGTCTTTCCCTGTTCAAAATGATGAGTTAGCCGTCGCCAAAACAAATATTAATTGAAGTTAAGTGCGTCTTGGTGACGGTTAACTAATTCTTTTGAAGAGGGTTTCTCTAAGGTGGTGTGGAAAGAGTTCTATTAAAGATAGAAGTCTAGAAGCGAGAAAGTATAGAAGATAGAGGCGAGTCTCGGGACCAGACGCAATAGACTCTACGACTCAAATTCCGTAAAGGGAGGGTGAGACTCTTTCCTCAAAATGTTTTCCCACCTTCGAAAAGCGAGCGCGCGATTCACCGGGCTCGGGAGCTTTTCTGACCAGAAAATCCCACTTTAGTGAGTCATTTAGCGGCGTGCTGCCAGCGCGTAACGCGCTCTGACGCCTACAAACCTAACAGGGATACTTCACGCATTGCGCAATGCGTGAAGTATCCCTGTTAGGTTTGTAGGCGCTTATGCGCATGTAACGCTGGTTGCCCGCAGGCCGCGGACGCGGAATGCCACGTCGTTTCAAGCAACTATTTCACTACAGAGGTGTTATAAGAAATCCAAGCCGCTCCAACGTATCAAGAATGACGGGCATCCTGTAAGAAAACAGAGCTATCCTCACAAAATAAATCAAGATACTACGGCACAAAAATAGAGTCCTACTCAAGGGTCAATGACCTGCCGATCCATGATATTTTAAATTATGTATGTCCGTAAAAATGCTGATGCAGGATGCAAGTATGAGTGCTTTACTACTTGAGTTCAGGAAATAGATAACCACTAACCTCGATTGACATCGGAAACGTCAAATATTCCTGAATTCGGCCAATTTTTCGTGCGTGAAATTTTGTTGCCGGAAAAATCACGATGTTTAAGCTCTGTGCGCGCCGGCCCGGGTTGAATTTTTTTTTTTCTCAAAATCCTCTTGGCTACCGTGTTTTTTTATCACATAGAACTATTTAATACCGTTCAACATTTGGTTTTGTCGATTTAAAAAAATAAGTTCCACTAGGTACGTGTCACATTCACAGATCCTGAAATATACCTCATATTTTTCATAGCTTTGAGAAAATTTCTGAAATATTCCATGAAAATTTCCCATCTTTCACATTTTATCTGTCACTTGTGTAACTGTGTCACATGGTCTCACGGTTTTGCAACGCGGTTTTGACTTCACCTGTATCTTCGTCATTCTTCGTTTCCGCCACTGAACCGGAAACGACCAATGTAAACAAGCACATACGACCTAACCTAAATTTTTCCGATTGACCGTCCGTAGGTACACACGTGTCTCTTCCAGTTGTTTTTTTACTTGAAAGTTCGCATATTTCAATTTATTTTTCATCCCTGTTAGTCATTCTTGCTGGTTAACTTCATTACGTATCTTTTTTCCTATAAATCAAAATGTCTGACAATTCTTATAAAGAACTTTTGACGTTCCTTGGCCCTCAAAATCGTCGCGACATAAGACTCGGAGCTCTCTCGATATTATTAAGTGAGTAATTTTTATATTTCTCCGAACTATCCTCTCAGGCTTCTTTGTGAATCTGATCTGAATGATGCCATTGTAATGCTGCCTCGGCAAATCCAGGAACACTGATCTAGTCATGTTTTTATGCATTGAATACTCATCTTCCAACCTGAATTAAAACAACTATGTTGAAAACCTTCACATGAAGACTATCGCAACATAATTGCTTAAGTCGATATACCTTGCACACAATTCCAATTACGAATTTGTACCTGTAATGATGTTAAGTGCAAAACCTGATGCGGACACGAACTGATATGCATAAATTCACCTCATCGGAATAGCACTTTTTCTTTATCCTTAAGGTGATCCAGGGTTCGATTAGGGATAATTCAAGATCAGAGATAGTGCCGCCAGTCACTACCAAGTATTTCACCTTCCTTTGACGATTACTGAAATTATATTGATCAAATTACAAAAAGCAGATCCATGAGATACCTATAGATAATTTTTTTGCTTAATTTTTTGAGCCAAAAATAGGTGTGGACTCCAGTGATGTGGTGTAAAAACGAAGTTAGCAGACCACAAGACACATGCTTGTGCTAAAAATCGCATGTTGCTGCCTATAAGGGCCTTAAGACTAGTCATAAATGATTTATATTTGAAGATTGGCGTCACAGTATAGTTGTCACTGATCTGGAGTAATTTTGTCCATTCAATCACCTACTTAAACTTGTCACTGTTGCATCTGAAACCTCCCCCCCCCCCCAACTTCTAAGTGACGACATTATATTTTACTTTTCATGGATGGCACCAATATCCCATTCTTATCTCTGGTACAAATTTTAACAAGCAGATGTTTTATCAGCAGAAAACATGTGGTATAAAGGGCACCTCCCAGGTATCGTCACTTACTTCAATACTAGAGGATGGATGCTACTTGCTGAGTAGGAGAGCATCACAACACACAAGCAAATAGCACAGCTCTCCATTAGCACTGGTATGTCAAATGAGGAAAGATGGAAAAACCCTCAGAAATAAAAGTACTTTGGTCTACATTTTAAATGTCCATTTTAAAAAAGGTGTATTTCCCGTAAGAATTTGCTCTCACAAACCTCTTTGACGTCATTGCTGCATTTTTCAGTTCATTTTACCGTAAGAATGGATCATGTCTCTTTAATCACTAGTTACTAAACCTTTACCGGTATTAATACTTCCTTTACATTCATTTTGCAGAAACAACAGCCGATATTGATGGACGTCAAAACTGGTACAAAAGTTGTCCTGAAGCAATTGAAACTTTGATGATTTGCCTTCAAGATGCCGACCCTGTTATTGCCAAGAGTTCATTTTCTTTCTTGATTAATATTTCCTCTGACAGAGATGGAGCAGAACTCATTTTAAAAAATGAGTTTGATGACACTCCCTCTGAGGTAAAATTCATAGACTCTCACTTACAAAAATTTACTTACCTGCTTGAAAGTAATTATTTGTTAATGACCTAATGCTTCTTAAATCCAGGCTTAATGCTTCTTAGGCCTTGTCTCCACGGGACGTTTCACGGGATTTGTCCCAGGGAAAAATCTCATTTGCGAAGTTGGGAAAAATATTGATCAACTCAATATGGTCTACCAACTACCAAGTATGGTCCTTGTACCTTTAGGACCAACTGAGAGAGGAAAAAGAACTGAAAGCGAACTATGCGATATTTTGTTGGTTACTCCACTGTTTGTGTTTGTTTAGTTTAAGTAATGGGTCTACTTGTGAATCGTGTTCAATTATTATTTTTATCCCGGTTAAAGTACTCGATTTTTACTAACTTATCTTCCCACACAAACTTGTCGCAGGACTTTATGAGGTTCGTCCCGTGGCGACGGTAACCAGGAAAAATCCCAGAAGTTTCATTCCTGCGATTCAAACTTGGGACAAATCCCATGAAAACGTCCTGTGGAGACAACGCCTTAAAATTTGTATGCATTTCCATTTTATCTGTTACAAGGAATGCTATGTTTTAGCTATTTATAGTATATACATAGCTTTATCGGTATGTTTCAAAATCTCTGTTCCTGTTTTATTTTATTCGAAGAAAAAGAAGCCAACTTTATACCTAGCTTGAAATTGATACAGAATATTTTGATAACCGAAGAGAAAAATCAAGGAAGTTTTCGAGATATTAGGTTGTCTAGTTTTCTGATGAAAAAATGAATTATTGCAGGAGGTCTGCACTGTCTCAAATGGAGGGATGTGGTATTACACTTTGGCTATCGATATGTAGCGCTCAATTTTGAATTTCATCATTGCTTTGTGTGAATAAAAAAAAAGTTGGTCAGTACATAGTCGGTTTCTCTTGAGGCGCCTTTCCTTTTTTTTCATCGCCCTTATCTAAGTAATTTTTATTTAAATCATTTTTCTCAAGTTTTTTTCATCTTCTTTGCTTTCATCACAGGTAAAATCATGCCGAACAAATAGTGTATTGTCACAATTGTTTGACAATGTGTTGGATCCTGAGTCAGTTGTTGCCGATCATGCCAGTTCAATTTTAGCAAACCTATCTAGGTATCCTGTTCCGACAGATCAAATTCATGACTTCATTCAAGCAAACGAAGAGAAGTACTCTTTACAAAACTTGGTATCAGCTTTCACAAAAATCAACTATAATACAGCGAAGTGTTCATTAGATACCCTAGCCTTTTTCTTTGCAAACCTCAGTCAATCTGCCAAACTTAGGAAGTAAGTGAATTTTCATTCCCTAATTTATATTTTGTACATTTCTATGCACTCTGCTTGATTCCTTTCTTTAATGGCAATCCAAGTTTTTCTAACCAACTTGAGGGCTGCTTCCTGGCAGCCACTTTGTAATCTTGGTATCATTTTCTGCCATTTTTGATGAAGCGCTTCCTTACGTAAGCCAAACGCTTATTATTGAGAAGGAGGGGAAAAAACTTTTGCTTGTCAAAATTTTATTTTTTTAGATTTTATTTCCTCCAAATTTCGTTAATTTAAAGACTGACTAGTCCAAATTTCGTTTTTTTAGACATTCAATGTTTTTTTTTTTGTTAAAATGCAATTTTTCTGAAACTTTTTGAATTTATAAACTGGTTATTTTTTCAATACAAGTGTTATTCTTCATGATCTCCTACCAGCGATTAGTAATGTTTAAAACAATACCGATTTGTTTCAACACCATTTTTTCATTAAATTATGCATTTAAACGATAAAGGGGGAAGGTCTGGCCAACCATACGTAATTATTTAGGAGAGGTCCAGGCTAGCCTTACGAGTGCCTTACAGGGGGAGAGGGGGATCTTAAAATCAGAAAAAGTGCCTCATGTAATTTGTACAAAACAATACAATAAAAACAATAAAATCTAGTGCATAAAACGCTGAACTTTAGGACACTGTTTTGACATGCAGTATGTAAGCAGAAGAATCGAAGGACTTGTGATAAAATCAAACATTTTAGGCTCTTTTTTCATTCAGCTCACTCACTGTATAATTTCTTCATACCATTATGTAGCCAACCCCCCCCCCCCAAAAAAAAAAGAAGCATCACGACTGTAGGCCTGTAATTATTATAAACGTGAAAGGAAGAAAAATGACAAGAAACAGCACTGACATTACCTATCTGGGTATAGTTTAAGGAGATCCTCCCTTCCCTCTCCTGTAAAAAAAATGTTTATGCTTATATATTAGCTGCTGGATACCAAGAGACCTCTATGGGCCTTTATTGCCTTCCACCCGCTAAATTTTTCCAGCTATGCTAATGATCATCACAGATTATGTATGAAGGAACAGTGATCCCCATTTCAGAAATATTTTAATTTTTTCCTGTTTATTTGTCTGTTTCAGAATGTTTCTAAATCGCAAAGAAAATATTATCAGAAGTTTCCTATCTTTCGTTGGCTATGAAAAGTCGGAGATCAGAAAAAGTGGCGTTGTTACCTTAATAAAAAACTGCTGTTTTGATCAAGGTAAGTTAGAGTTTCGCGCCATGTACTAATGCAGAAACCTGAAAATTGAGCATTTACCTATACAAAAAAAGTACAGTGTTCTAAAATCACCAACAACTGCAAGGACGACCAAAGCTGAGAAAGAAGTATCTATCTTTTTTCTATTGTAGTATCTATAGAAATTTCCATACTATTCTCTTACTGAAATGCCAAGTCTTAGCCTACTGTTATCATAAGGAGGCCACTGCTTTTCAGTGAAAAATTTGTCCACCAAAATGTTTCATATCACTCGTTAAATTTTTTCCTGGAGTGTCTAGAGAAAAAATACTTTAACCCTTTCCGGTCCGCGGCAGTTTTCCACCGCCGCGAGAAGCAAGGTTAAGGTAGCAGCAATGTTGTCAACAAAGACAGTGGTTTCCAAAGGATCCACCAGAGGCCGCCACTTGCTGGAGCAGTCGAATATACCCGACATCGGGCCTGCCCAGAAGTTTAAACTTTTGGGCGACTATATCCGACATCGGACATAAACGCGTTATTTTTCACGGCGAATATATCCGACATTGGACCAGAAAGGGTTAACATAATATGATGGTCAGTCACAATTCTCCTTACCACTTGTAACAGACTATTTTTGGGAGACAACTCAGAATTTTATTTTGTGCCACTGGACAGTCCGAAATTTAGATTCTATCTCCTCTAAGTCGTAAAAGAACTATTTTTATGCCTGGATTTTAAGTTGCAACTCATTAGATTCCTTGTTTGATCTTTCAGAGCATCATGAATGGCTGTTAAGCCCTGAAGTAGAAATCTTACCCCATTTGCTTTTGCCACTTGCTGGACCCGAGCAATTTGATGACGAAGACAATGAAAAGTTACCTGTGGATTTACAATACTTGCCTGAAACTAAAATGAGAGAACCGAATCCTTCAATCAGGAAGTGCCTTTTGGAAGCTCTTCTCAAGGTCAGTATCCAGGGTCCACCCCATTTTAGTTTGTACGTACATTTTTCAAAAGTTCCATGATTATTATGGGCTTCAAGACAAGGTATGAATCAAAGTACTGTGCAATTTTCTCATTAAAATTTCACAAAGAAAACGAATCATAGAACGGGATGTCTGGAAATCAACTCAGAAACAAGATATAAATTTTTACAATTAACTGTGATTCAATGGCAAACATATAAGTGACGTTATTTGAAATGTAGTCAAACTTCCATTTAACAAAGCTGTGCATTTAGGTTTTCATGCATTTTTTTATATTTAAAAATTTTAGAAAATATAATGTTGTCGACTCGTAAGATGTCGGATCAAATTAAACGCCCCTCTCCAATGCAATTTCAAAATCTCCTTTCAATTGTTCTGATATGCATTTCCATTTTACCTCCTATCCGTTTTTTTATGATCTGTGTTTATTTTTGATGTACATGCATCCTTATTTATTTTAGCTGTGTGCCACTAAAACGTGCAGAACAATATTAAGAGATTGTAATACATACATCATCTTACGAGAGCTGCATAAATGGGAGAAGGATAGCGAAACACTCCTAGCCTGTGAGAATGTTGTTGACATATTAATCAGGTACAACACTAAATTTATTTGTATTTTGACTTAATCAACCAATCCATTTTTCTACATGGCAGTGATGTTTGATTGGAGATTACCATTGAGATCTCCCGCATCCTCCTTGTAATGAAAGGGAAATACATCAACCATTCACTTACCAACTTGCTGATTCGTCACGAGTGCAACTCTCCCTTCCCCACATGTCCTGGTAAGTGCACACTCTGTGGACAGTGGCAATTTTGCAAGTTGACAACCCTGTTTTTTCTCCATTTATATTGTTAAAAATATCGATTTCAGGTGAGGCAAGCTGCTCCACCGTAAATCGATTGTTCTACATGCATTTAAATTGAGGAAACACGGTGTTGCAAACTTTTTAGAATCGCCTCTGTCTGTGGACGAGCAAATCCTGAGACTTGCGTAGCTTCTCAGGATCTGTGCTATTTCGCTAGATTCTCCTTCAAGCCTCTGTTCGTCACTCTGATTGTGATTTTAAAATAATGTAACTAGCAAGAGAATATCATATTGTGAGTATAGTTCGATCAGATGCAGTTGCTAGTCTGCAATTGGATGCAACAAGTAACATATCTAAGGGACACAGGGATTAATTTGATTAAAACACCTTCTAGCAACAACGCAAGCTGTGCTACTCACATTCACCTTTTTTTAAAATTTGTCTCTCTTTTATTGAGTTTCCTCACAATCGTTGAATATAATATCTAAGTTTCGAGTCAATTTTTTTTATTTATTTATTTATTTTTTTATCCTCGACAATTACTTATCCGAGAATGCAATTAAAAACTTCAAAATTCAACTCATGGTAATTTTTCTTCAAAATTCGAGAACTAAGATTTAACTGTTCCTATGAATTTCATGGCATAGCGAGTCCATTGCAGAAGTTTTTGAACATTTCCTGAATTTTTTCGAAATTTCATGAATTTTCATAATGAAATTTTTTTTACAATTTTATGAAATTTTGCGCGCGCCCGCGGTCTCCCGCCGTAAAAACGGCGAACGGATCTCATCAAAAACCTCTCTTGCCCCCTCAGAAACCATAAACCCAGCATAAACCGTTGATAGGGCATTTGTAAACAAAGCAAAAAGTGAGGTTATACAACAAGACTTATTGACTGATAACACAGAACTGATAAAGTGGTTAGAGTGAAGTGTGTGAGAAAACACTCTGAATTTCTTTAACCTTGATTTATATAGGAGAGTGTCTTTCTCCATGAACTCTAGTTGTGCACCACATATCATTTTGCAAAATTTGTTGGAAGATTGTTGCTTGAAGCCCCGAGAAGTGCCTGCCTCAATAACTCCTCAATGATGCATTCATACTTAAGAAACCCAAAAATTTAATTGTTGTTTTTCTCTAAAGTACAAACCTGAAGAACAAAGAATATGTGCAAGCCTTAAGATTCAATAGGTTTTCATCGGTATACTTCTTATAGTTTGATAAGTTTGACATTGATTGTGACACATCTCATTTGTGATTTGGGTATCATTTTCCACATGGTAAAATGAACAACTTACAGCAAATTCGCCGCAAGCTGAAATTGATAACATTTGATGTAACAGGGACTCTTCTAAACTTCAAAATTCCTGTCGGGAAACAGTATGCTGAAGCAGGATCCAAATACAACGTCCATGTTGACTCCGACTTATTAAATGACGCATTCTTAAAATCTTGGAAGCATATGAATGAAACCCATCCTAATTATGGCTACTCCTGTAACATGACTTGGGAATCTTGGTGGCATCAACTGGTTCAGCGAACTTTTGTAACTGCTGCACCTTCTATGGAGTTTGATGCAGAAAGTTCGAAGAAAATCTCTCATTATCTGACCGAAGTGTTTAGAGAAAGTGAGTGCTGGGAACTTTGCGATGGGGCTGTAGACATACTGGAGGATTTAAAAATGAGCGGCATGCCTGTTGGAGTAATATCCAATTCGGATCCGAGATTGGAAGAGGTTCTCATCAATATGAAAATACGCGATTATTTTAATTTTGTCATTGCTTCATATACCGTCGGAGTAGAAAAGCCGCACTCTGAAGTTTTCAAATTGGCTATGGATTTATTCAGTGACAAAACTTTGAAACATCATGAAATACTACACATCGGAGATTCACCTACATTAGACTTTCAAGCTGCATTGAATGCTGGATGGAACGCATGCCTGGTTGACCCCAACAGAACATTCTCAATACTACCTTATTCTCCTGATCGCCAATTGAAACATTCCAGCGGTATTTACCGAATGACCGTGAAAAATCTACATGAATTAAGGTCTGTTTTGAAAGGACAGACGAGCTCTAAAAAATAGGTGGAAATCAGTCCAGCCTTCAAGGAATGGAGGCGCATTCCAGCGTCAGTCGAAGAATCAGGCAGCAATGACCATTTTAATTCTCTATTACTAGTCAATTTTTAAAACAACTTTAATTTTATTGATCATGACAACATTTTGACTTCATCTTAGTGTTTCAGCAGGCTCTAGTTACCTTGTTATTCTGCTAGGCTGGAATCTAAACTAAGTCGAAGTGGCTCTATATTTTTTGTAATTTTTACTCAAACTTTCATGAGAATATTCCATCTGTTTTTAATTTGCTGAACATGTACCAATGGATTTACTAATATATTATTTTCTCCCCTCTCATTTCAGGACGGAAGAAGAAATAGGCATCGAAAACTTACTTGAAGTAGAAGTACCCTCAGATTTGAAAGAGAAATTCGAGAAATTAACCGTTGAAAGTCTGAATGATCAGTGAGATACTGTCCAATGAAGGTAAACTGAGTAAGCAGAACTGACAGTTGCTGGAATTGAAGTTGTATTGTAGTAGCACCACCTGTGCATTGACCACTAAACTTATGAGTTGGGTATGTTTTTTGCTACTGTACGGCTTCATGTCCTCTGTAAAGATAAGGAAATCTGAACTGAATTAAATTTTCAAGTTTTTGGCTTTTGAAAGTAGTGCTCAAACTACATTATTCATGGATCAATTGCGTAGGTCCCGTAAGGGTGCCTTGCTGGTCAGCTTCCCTGCACCACTAAACACCACGGCTCATGTTAGTGGACCTTCACTCCTTCTTTACCTAATTGAAGATTCTGATCCCAAAAATTGTATTAAATCTGTCATGCTCCAGACTTTAAACATACAATAGTGCTTAAAAAAAATTGTTAGAAAACATTAAAAAAGAATGTTGGTCTCTCAGAATGCAGGGAAGATCCAAGGGGTTTTTGATTTTTCCAAGTTAAATAGGACATCATTTGCATTGGTTTCTTGTTGTCAGTCAAACTGGTCTTAGCCAAAATGCAAGACTTTTTCTTCTTTTGAAATTAACATGAAAGGGTTTAGGAAGAATAAGTCTCAAGTTAAATGTTATTTGTTATATATAAGATTGTATTTTTCCCTGCCATATGTTATATTTTTTTAGAGAAAATGAAACTTTTGAATTAAAATGATAACTTTCTTAAAAATTATAGAGATTTATTTCTGGAAGTTCCTGTAAAATATTTGAGTCATTGCTTCATTGGAGCTGTTGTATGATTCGAGAATTGCACTAAACATGAGTGTTTTCAGTGCAAATGTCAGCGAGCATTGCATTTTTGAGTTCAAAATAGCTCTAAACAGCACTTCTGACTGAAAAAAGGCTCGAAGTGTGATAACAGAGAAAACGTTTCTCATTGGTCTGAAGATGATGACATCTTATGAAGCGAAAGCCCTTAGTTTCAACCATTGTGGATTCAATGTAACATGGCCGCTGGGCTGGGCATTTTTCATCATGAATAAACGTTTCCATTTTTTTAAAAAAATGACAAAATTATTCACTTCAAATAGCAATGCTTGTAACAATGCGTTTAAGATACATATCCACACAAACTTGGGAAATAAATGAACAAATGCATAGACAAAAAAAACCTGGCAATCGATTCCTGATGTGACATCTTACAATCTATTAGATGCAATATTTTTCCATTCGAAATAGGGTCGAATTTTTGTCAACTTTGAAAGACATTTTCTTAGCTAAAATTTAATCAAATGCAAAACGGACAAATACAGGTATTCAAATTACTTTCATTCTTTCCAAAAATGAATGGAAAAAAAAAAAAAATTCTGCAACAGATCATTGCTGTAAATAAGTGCCACAATGAAGAGACTGCAAGCCAAACGCATAAACACCTTGTTGCGCCAGGTGAAAAAAGGGCATTTCTTGGTTGCGGTGTCTCAAAATCTCTGCCAACGTTCATCCATTATGATTAAATCTAATGTATGTTGTTTTTTGTTACTTTTACTAATCATTCTTTTTAATTTCTTATTGCTGAAAACTCAAAATTTCAGAAAATGCACCCAATAGTTTCCTCCTTAAAATATAAATTAGCCTCGGAGATTCTGAAACAACGCAAGCAAGGAATACCTTTTCTGCACCCAACGCCTTGTATATGAAGGCACCTCACTGCTTCTAGGGAAAACCAATTATTGCAGATACATTGTTTTGATACTTCTCACCTTTTGATGAAGAATTAATGTTCCTAAAATTACCTAGTATTCTTTACCAGCAGCCCAAAAATGAGCCTTTAAAACTGGTGGTTAATTGTTGAAATTGTGCACAATGTCAACTGGACGAGATATGATTATGTCAAAATGAAGCTATGCGATTTGTTAGCTTTTTTAGTTGTCCTCTGTATCAAGCCTATACAGGGTGGAACTTAGGAACTTCTGTCCCATCATTCCCCCTCAAAAACGGACCATCAGTTTTTCTGAGCCCAAATCAGTTTTTTTGTTGTACTGAACCATTTAAGTTTCCACCTCAAGGGCTTTTCTGCTGGCCTCTAGAAAATATGGAACAAGTACTTTTACTTTACTATGTAGTATAGTGCTCTTCTGAAGGCCTCTCCTTTGAGTCCAGCTACAGGGGGATATGCACAAATGGGAAATGGAGTCTTGATTTTTGAACACAAGGTGGCAGTCAAGGAATTCGACCAATCAAAGCCATTAAAAAAGGCATTAAAAGTGCCATTTCAGGCTTTGAATGTAACTTAAAAGCCCAAGCTCTGCCAATTAGCTATCGTTTTTCTAAGGCATTTTAAAAAATACAAAAACCCTAACATGTATTGCATTTTTGCCCAAAAAACCAGCTCCCGTCATGTCAAGTCCAGAAATGCAACGTTTCAGCATGTCAGGTAATCGAGAGTCTACTGCATTTGTCTGTAGAAAATATGCTGGAACCTGCCAACTACATGCTAAGACACACACGTAATACAAAAAAAGAAGAAAATGATGAATTAAAATAAAATCTGACTTTATTTTAACAAAACTTAAAAATAACAGTGGAAAAATAAGAAAATTTACAAACACAAACAGAGACTGTACACGAGGTAGACTTAGGAAACAGGTGTGTCGTTGGAAACAGGAGTCAAATTAATGAAAGAATTACTGTTCTCGACCAGCTCTGCAATCGAGACGCGTCCTCTTCTTCTGATAAACTTTGCAACTTCTTCAAGCTCCTCTTGAGAAATATAAATGAATTTTCCCCGGTCATCTACTACACCTGAAATAAGAGGAAAGGAACTGATTAGTTCACAATATTAGGATAAGAAATTTAAGAACTAGAAGTAGCTGTCACAGACATATGCTCTTAAAATTAAAGGCTTGCAAGGGTTTTCTTTCTTGCTAAGGTTCCACGCAGCTAATATCGCAGTTGTCAAGAAGAACAAAACCTCTGAAAGCACATCCTTTGCTGAAAACCTTAAGAGATTGAATTGTTTTAAAAATCGTGGGAGCGAAAAATTTTTATCCGACAGCTCTCTTCACACACACGGCAAGTTTAGCGAAGACAACTAAACCTAGAATAGTTAACGCGTATAGCACCTTTGGTCTAGTTATCAATTTCACTCCTATAAATGAATGGCAATTAGCAAAAAGGAATGAAGCAATTACAGGGTTGCAAAACTCGTGCATCTTTATCTTCAGTTAAAAAATGTCTCGAGTAGCAATGTGTCTTCGTTTATTTGCCCAAAAAAGGTTAATTTCAAAGGAAACAGAATTCAGAAAATTAAATTCCCTGACATTTCTCTAACACATTCTGGTAAAATTCCCTGAAATTACAGCTATGCCATATAATTTAAAACACATAATTTGGAATAGTGTTCAGGCAAAATTTGTTGTTTGAAACGTCAAACCCACTCTAAAAAGCAAATAAAGGTGACTTAACAATTTTTCCCTGATACTTTCGTCACATATCGACGGTGAAACTACCAAACCACGTATCTCGTTTGCGGTGTTTAAAAATCTACGCTCGCATTTAATTTATTTGAAGTCGACCAAATCAATATCATTCTTTAAAATTTTCACAGAATTTTCTCCGCACAAAGAGGAAAAATCACAGAAATTTTCAAGACTAGATGTTAAGTAGTTTTTCATTTAAAAAATAAAGTATGACAGGAAGTCTGCGACGTCGCAAACCGAGATACGTGGTTTGGTAGTTTCACCGTCGATATACACTTATGCATGTATTTAGTGCATTTTTAAGCAAAAAAGGAGTAGCACACTTTTAAAAGCAATTGGATGGCCTGGCTCGTTCAATTTTGATCAAAAAAGAATGTTGCATAGTGATCAACAGTCATCAAATGGTCTACTTTGATCAGAATTGGTTCAGAGTTTAATGGTCTATTGAGGCCTATAGAAAGCTCTCTCCCTGATTAACTGTTATAATGAACGTACAAGTTAATGATGATTCAATTAGAGACAGATTAATCAAGTTGAACAAAATGCATGTGCACTGTTTTCCACTATTAACTGGTGACAACTAAAACCACCTTTCGTACCTGTGAGAGTCCCTGCTTTCTGCAGATCATCAATTCTGTCAATTACATTTTGAGTTTTCAATTTAAAATGTGCAGCCAAGTCTTCTAAAACCACCACTTTATTGTTCTGCGAAAATGAAAGAAAGGAAAATAAATCGATTAGAAATTACACTGACAGGGAGAGAAAAAAAACGCACACTTGCATCGTATTTTTTGTGAACTCTTGAAACTGCGAAGAGGGACTGAATTTGGACTGCATTTTGCAATAAGAAATAAAATTTCTAGCTCATACACACAAAAAAGACTATATCTGCGTAGAGAAACTGATGGCACACACGTTGTATCAATAATGAGTTAGAAAGTGTAGTCCCTAATTGAAAATGTGGTCCATTATGATTCATTTTAATAGACTAGGACTACGTGTTGGTACTTTCGTTGACCTTCAAAAATTTTAAACATTTTTATTATCATTACCTGATACAGTTCGATAAAAAAATGTCCAGGGCATCAATGGAAATCCAAACATGAAAATGTGGCACTTTTTAAAAATACAACTTTAAGCGACCATTTTTTGCATTAAAGTTTAACTGTGAGGCTAATAAAATGCAGAAGCCATGATGTCTAGAGTATTTCGATCTGACATCCTCTTGTTAGTTGGCCACCTGACCGAGAATTTCGACCCAAATATCGAGTGATGAAACCAAACCATGGCAATTTTAAGCACAAGACTTTAGTATAATTATACAACTGAAATGAAAATACATATCGGTGTTGAAACTGCAGAAAAGCATATCTCGGTTTGCGATCTTGCGGACTTCCTGTCACACTTTATTTCCTACATGGAAAACTATTGAACATCATTCTTTTAAAATTTCACCGATTTTTTTTTTTCACTTCATTAAAAATAATCTGTGAAAATTTCAAGCCATGATGTTGGCTCGGTCTTCTCATAAAAAATAAAATAATAGTGGAGATTTCAAAACACCATAACCTGGATATGCATTTTTGCAGTTTCACCATCAATATGGTAATGATTACGTAACCTGGAGACACCCTTTCTCAAACTCGAAGTCAATTCCTAGGTACAAATTTGAGGTGAATATAGGAAGCCCTAGTCTTTGAAATGTTATTTTTCATTTTATTCATATGACGCATTTTAAGGCAGCTTGTACCCTTCTCTTTATTTCCATACCTTAATATAAGCTATGAATTCTTGCAACAAATTCTCCTCTGCTTTCTCATCAACTCCTTCATCGAATCCTTCCTGCTCGATTACGAATGTAGCTTTCATTGCTTCGTATTCCTCCTGCTCTCTCCTTTCCCTTTCTTCACGCATTTTTCTTTCCTCCTCTTCCCTTTGCTTCTCCAGCTCTTCCTCAGCTTCCTTCTGCTTTTTCCTTTCTTCCTCTGCTGCTTCTGCCAGTTTTTTCTTCTCTTCTCGATCTCTTTCTTCAGCCTGTAACCAAAGAAAAAAAAGTGGAGGATGGGTAATGTGAAACCAGCAAGGGACTTGCTTCTTAAACTAGGAATCAGATAACCACGAGTGAAAGATTACATGGTTGGATTATTTTCTATCTTAGTTTGATGATTAGAAGTACTTCAGAGAAGGATCACATAAAAATCTACTTTGTCACAAACAGAAATCTATTTTTCTTGATTTCATCATCATTGTGCTTTTTTGCCCAGCAAACTTATACAATTTCAAAAACAAAGGTATTTGTTCATAAAATATAGAATTGCAGAATGATTTGATGCCTTGCGACTCAATTATCCAAAAATAAAAAACAATGCAATTAAAAAATTAAGAATTAGAAAATGAACCTCAAGGACTGTATAGTGGTAGAAAAATGTTGTAAAACGGTTGGTAAAAAATGTTGATAACAAGATAAAGTAAGAAACCCGAAATGCAGCAAACACTAATGACACAAAAATCATGTGCTTTTGGGTCAGATAAATGTTTAGGGTTCGCTTAATTTGATCATTAAGCCTAATAATAAACCAAGAACTAACGCTCTAAAAAATTTCAGAGGAGTTTTAGCTACTCCTTATTTATCAGAAAAAATGTGGAATGAGTGTAATTTTATTTGGATACCTACAGGAATAGAATCCAGGATCTCTTATTTTAAAATCAAGCACAATAGCTGCTTGCGAGATACACGCTACAAGAGGTGCTTTTGTCCTGTTCTACCAAGGGACAGCATTTTAATGGACAGTTGTAGGTATTATGGAATTTCTACGTATTATCACTTCCTACAATTTTATCACTGATGTCTCTGTTCCTTACCTCTCTCTGAATGCGGCGTTCCTGTTTCGCCTGAAGTTTGGCCATCTTTTTGGCTCCTATCTTGGCCCCTTCTGGGACTTCAATTTTTACGGCAGGCCGCGCTTGGGCCTCTTCTTCATCCTCGCTTCCGCCTCCTTCAACTGCTTCAAGTTGAGCTAAAATGAATCAAAGATATGAAATTGACAAAAACTATAAAGGCAATATGGGAGCCAAAAAGATTACAAGGTATGCTGCAATCCTAGATGCAAAAGGGTGAGACATAGAAAATTCCTCTAGGATGAAAAACGTTTTTCACCATTCAATTCTTGAGCTGCATCCAACAGCAAGAAATTTTGCATGGTTCTTCAACCAACCATACAACTTTTGACAATGGTGATTTTATTTGGCATTTAAGTTAGACTTAGGTATACCTTTAATGACTCTGAGAAGTTAACAGCACTCTGAAAATCTGCGCATACTCTGAAATGCACTCTACCTTCTAAAAATTTTAAGGGCTAACTGGACTACATTTTGCAATTAGAAACTACAATTTCTGGCTCATCCATAAAAAGCACCTATCTGCATGGGAAAACAAATGACACATCTGTTGTTTCTGAATGAACTAGAAATTTTAGTTCCTTATCGCAAAATGTGGTCCAATTCAGACTGGAACTAAACATAGTTTTCAGGAGCCAACAATAATAAACAATATAAATCCATAAAAATAAGAATTAATAATGAATACAAGAAAGATCCTTGAGAAAACAAGAGTCAGAATAAAAAATAAAACTAAAATTAAAGGATCAAACATTATAAAGATGATTAGAAAAGTCAATAATTTCAATCAGTATTACCAACCAAAAATTAAGGAAGATGTTTCTGCTTATTCCATCTGTAATTCTAAGCAACAAATTATTATGACTAGTAGGTATTAATAAAGATGTAATCTACCTTTCAAAGATATTTACCTAGGTATTAAACAAATTCTTAAAGATCAGGGACGGATTAGTCTTCTGATAGTTTCAATCAATACTATAAAAGAAATTAATGATAAGGAAAAACGACCTCTTTGAGAACTGCACGGCTACAAAGTATAGAGCCATTTGTAAGCATAGGGACGGATTATATTTAAGATTAATGATATGTTTTCTCTGGATATTAAACTTTTACAGTATTGAAATGACCTAATACTCACCACGATGCTGGACTAGCCTCCTCCTTCCTCTTGGTCCGACAGGTCTTGGTGCATTTCGAGCTTCTGGGGCCACTTGTTGCTTTTCTTTCTTCTTACCTGCAATTTAAGTACGGAGAAAGTATGAGACAACTGTTTTTAAACAATGTACGGTGAAACCAATCCTTAAATAGGAATGTTTGCTTGGCTCTAAAGGATGCAAAAACAAGTGCATTAGATTAAGATGCGATTGGCGTCACATAGTGTACTGCATCAGCCAGTTAAAATATACAAAAGAGAGCATACATCACATCAAAGAGAAAAAGAACTAATACTAACTCTGGAACAATCCATTACAAATGTTTTGAATAGATTCATCAAAGGTGCCTCTGTCTTCATATTTTTTTTCAGAATGCATGGCGAGGCAATGCATTGCATTGTATTTGAAATGCGATGATGATACTGAGCTGCCTTGTGAAATCGATCTGGGAGCAATGCGGTCAAGGATGTTTGAAAACTTGAATACTCTTCTACTTTACCACATGTTCCTCATTTTGCTCTCAGCCTGAATTTTCTTAAAATGAACTTAATATTGGTGTGCTCACTATATCTATTCTCATGAAGTAAATTTTTTAATGGAGCTAGAGCGGAAGCATCGTGTGATGAGACAAATGTCAATCTCTGATTACCTCAGAATCAGCACCACTCAACAGGTTAATGCATGCAGTTAGATGGCACCACTGATAAGTGGCGAACTAAATAATACTTGACTTTTTTCTGAACATACGATGCCTCCGCTCTCGCTAGGGTAGGACAAGACGGATCACGGTGAAAATCTTTGAGCTATCTTGAAGATAAGAAGTACCTTAGCTTCTACAGTTCATGGCTGAGACATTACGGTGATTCGTCAAGCTCAAGTGACGTGGTCGAAGTGGCATGCGATATATCACATCGATTAGGTCAAAAATCACGGTCAATTTTTAATTATTAGCAAAAAAAAAAGACAATAGCCCCTGCGCCCAGAGAATCATTCTAAACCTAAAAATCAGTAAAATTGACAGCCTCCTGTGGTGTAGTGGTTGTAGCGCTTGCTCTACGATCGGGAGGTTTCGGGTTCGATTCCTGGCCAGGTGACCCGAGTTTGACGGTCTCGAATGACGGTCACCTGGGGCTGGCTAGTTTAGGGACTGAGGGGGGATAGGAATCTAGGGACAGCAAGCAGGAGATTATCCCTTGAGGGATATTTGAAGTCACAAAAAAAAAAAAAATTCCGAGAAATGAAAGCAGAATAGTGTTTGAAAAAATCCTCGCATTCGATACAGAAATCAATAGCTGAATCAAATCCGAGGTTTTTTTCAAACTCTAATCTGCTTTCATTTCTGGGAATCCAGCTGATTTTAGGGATTAGAATGATTTTTTAGGCTCATGCGCAGGGGCTATCGTCCTTTATTTTTGCTAAAAATTAAAAAACTGAGATTTTTGACCTAATCGATGCGATGTATAGCATGCCAGTTCGACCACGTCACTTGAGCTTGACGAATCACCTTAAAAATTTACGTGCCGGGAGGGGGAAAATTAAATTAATATGACTTTGTTAAAATGAATGAAAGACGCAATGTAAGGAACTATGATATTTCTGCCTCAGACTGTTGAACATATTGTAGCGAACGCACCAGCTCTGAGGAGTACAATTCCGAGGAGCACAGCAACTACGGCAGCAGATACAAGCGACAAGACTAGGGTTAGATCCATGGTGTTTGTAGAAGATCACAGAATTATGAAAAAATTCATTTGAAAATTAATTGATAAAACACTTTGAAAGAAACTCGTTTGATTGTGGTGATGCAGTAGGTAAACAAGAACATAACCTACGCACACACATAAACCGCTAACATCCAATCTAGCCAATGCTTCAGAAGCGTGAGTAATTTTGCTTACAGGTTAGGCAACTTTAGAAAATTGATGGCACTACCAGTAGTGAAAGAACTTGACCGGATCGAGAGAAATTTCCTATTGAATCTGATTATAAAGCTTGAAAAAAGNTCTTAGGACTTTTCTACACTTTTGGAATGTAATTTTATGCGCAAATGCATTTTTGCAGTCAATTCCAAGTTTTAAAGTCTCTAATTTAATTCTCAGAAGTTATCTTTTTCCCTGTTTACTCTGCCCTTTTTGTGTTCAGCTGTCGACAACCTCCACACATAAAGCTTATACGATTTTCTTCGAGTTGATTCTTAGTCTCCTGGACTGAATATAAAGCATCTCAATCTTAATTACCTCAATTCTCACACAGTCTCAACAGCAATTTTATACCAAACATGCCAAAGGTCAGGCGAAGCAAGAAAGCGCCACCAGAAGGTTGGGAATTGATTGAGCCGACGCTCGAAGAATTGGAACAGAAAATGCGAGAAGGTAAATATGTACCGCTATCTTAGACCCATGATATTAGACTTATCGTACGACATATCAAGCATCAGCTTTCTGAGGACAAAAAATCTGAAATTAACTCTATTAAATCCATTGAACACTTCTTATATACTTCTATTGATATTTTTTCCGATAAGACAAGTCGGATTATAGGATGGGACACCTTATATTTATCGTTATCTCTTCTGACTCTTTTTATTTTATTTTTCATCAAGTAATCTTTTTCAGATGCCATAAGTTGTGCCATATGTGTTGCCCTCCCATAAATATCTTTCATACATGCAAGATATTGCTACTCTCTAAGTCTTGTGCTTTGGATATCTTATACCTTAAGCAGGGGTGCAGAATTTTCTCGATCACCCGATCATGGTTGCATGGCCGCTCGTGTGTAAATTGGGAAAGGTTGTAAAAATTTGTAAAAATTGGGGTAGACTTTTTTTTCCTTGTTTTTGGGGGAAAAATAGATGAGCGCATTGTTATTTGTGCTGGATGCCTTTCAAGCTTGCTACATTCAGGGAAGAAAACTAACAAGCAAGTTGTTTCATTCGCTGGAAGTCTTTCAAGTACCCTGCTTGTGGGAAAGATACCTTTACGCGCGCTGCTTTTAGGGAAGGAGACTTCTAAGCACGTTGCTTTTGGGTGAGAAAACTTCTAAGCACTCTGTTTTACATGCTGTAAGTCTTTCAAGCACGCTACTTTTTGGGAAGGAAGCTGTTAAGCGTGTTGTTTAGTGTAGAGGCGCAATTATAGCCAAACAGCAAATTTTGGGGAAGGCAAATTATAAATAGGGGAAGGCTTAGAACTTTCCGCACCCCTAGTTAGAAGCTGTGATAATTTCATTTTATTATTAATTTGTTGGAATACCTAAGTTTGTTCTCATGCATTTCTTGTTAATATAATGGAAATCGGTTCAAATTAAATATATTCAGCTCCTGATCATCTCAAGAAGAGGAATATTATTGCAGAAACACAACAAATGAACTTAATTTTAAAAAAATGAACTGGCATTAAAGTGGCTTCTGGAAGGCCACCTAAGCACAAGAAACGAAGACGAACCATTCGGTGTAAATTAACCTTCACTGATGGTCAGGATATTAACATTAACATTAAACCTTCAATAGAATTTGAGAACTCCCCGATTTTTCCACCCTACCAACATTTAATTTTTTTATTTTTAATGTGCTGGTTTATAGTCTTCTGATGTATTTTCCAGTTGAAAATGAACCTCATGAAAACAGAAGAAAAGTGGAATCTCTGTGGCCAATTTTTAAAATACACCATCAAAAATCTCGATACATATATGACTTGTTCTACCGCAGGAGAGCTATTTCCAGAGGTGAGGTGACCTTTTTTTTTTTGTCATTAGCATATTACTACCTACAGACAACAATAAGTACTGTTTTGTTACAGTACGAAGCAGCATAGAAGTCAGGCATTTACCTCAAAGTTCTTGAAAATGGGTGACTGCAGCTCTTGTTGAAGTGCATCTGCTGGTCCAATTTCAACCCGGCAGGTTTAATTTGCAAGGCAGTTTTGTAGGTGTAGAAATTTTTTCAAAAAAAGGAGAGGATTATATGTACACATCCCAATGTAAAGTTAGGTTTAAAAGATTTTAAGATTTCTTAGGTTTACTTGAAAGATTATCCAGTGGGTCAGTTGTGCTGGTCACAGAATTGTGTTTGGATCCATGATTCTTGTGGATTAACTGAAAATAATAAGATTTGTACAAACGGCAACTCCCTACCTTCAATATTAACTGAGATATTGTGCTTTGAAAAGTTGGGTTTTTGACGTCATCCACCATGGTAGTGACACCCTTGGCTTCTTCCTCTTTTGTTCAATCAGTGATGCAGAAGGCACATTACAAAACTTCAACAACATTAAACGTAAACAAACTGTGGTGAAGTGACTAACTCTTCGCATTGAGTGCATTATCTCCTGATAAAAAGATCCTTGAAATGCGAATCCATCTGCATGTTTCTTGAGTTTGTTAGTTAATGTTTAATGTTGTTGAAGTTTTGTGTTGTGCCTTCTGCATCACGGATCGAATAAAAGAGGGAAAAACCAAGAGTGTCACTACCGAAGTGGATGACGCCAAAACTCTGACTTTTCAAAGCGTGGAATCTCTGTTAATATTGAACACAGAGAGTTGCTGTCTGGACAGATCTTATTATATTTAGATAATCTACAAGGATCAAGCATCAAAACACAATTCTGTGACCAGCGCAACTGACCCATTCATCAATGCAGATTGTTTAGTCATTCACAATTTATCATTCATTCAAGAAACAGATCATTCGTGAGAAAATTTTCTCTCATCTTTTTTGCATTAAATCGAGAAAGTTGGTTGAAAGCCGTGAAGAGTGGTGCCAGTAGAAGCGAGGCAGCTTGGAAACCCGTGTATACAATTGCACCATTGTTTTTAACTTGAGTGACGTAAGAAGAAAAAAAACTCTACTTTTACAATAGTTGCAAGAGGAAATTTAGTCAAGGGTCTTAGCAAATTTTTGATGGCAGTAAAGTTATGGAGATAAAGTGACATTATTTTGGGATCGATGCCTCTCTTGTTCCTTTTATGTTTTGCTAAGTAATATTATGCACGTTCATAAAGCAATAAGCTAAAAACAAAAGATCATCACAAACTTTTAGAATTTGGGAGTAGTAAAATCCAATTTCAGTTCCAATGAAAAGGGAGTGGCAAATAGGCATTCTCACCCTTGAGTGTTAGATATATTTTATCGGAAGCAAAGTAACATTGATGTGAATTTCTTCCAAATGAATCCATGTTGCAGGAGGTTGCATAGTTTCATTTTCTGTCTTGTCTTGTTCCAGAACTCTATGACTACTGTCTACAAGAGAAGATTGCAGACGGTAATTTGATAGCCAAATGGAGGAAGCAAGGATATGAGAATTTATGCTGCTTACGTTGCATACAGACCAGGGACACAAACTTTGGCACTGCCTGTATTTGCCGAGTTCCCAAAGCAAAGTTAGAAGAGGTATGAGTTACTTTTTCTCTTTCCCGTTTTTTTCATCCAAAAACGAAGTGCAAATCTGAATTTTTCACTTACTGTCGTATCCCATCATAATGTAATTGATGCAGGAATCACGTTTTTGGAATTATGTTATTTCAGAAAACGCTATTACAAGAAACGACTGGCTTGAGGTTGAAAAAACGACCGTTGTTTACAAAAGAAAGTTATCATAAAAACACTTTAATGAGATACGACTATGCATTCAAACCTTTTTATGGCCACACTGCACCAAAACATTTAACTAAGATGAATCCAGAGTTCGATTAGGGATCATTCAAGATTAGAGATAGCGCCACCAGTCATTACTCAGAATTTCATTTTCCTTCGATGATTACTGAAATAATATTCCTCAAATTACAAAAAGCAGATCCACAAGATATAGATTATTTTTTGTTTGATTTTTTGAGCTAAAAATATTGGCAATTAGAATTGCAAGCGCAGAGAAAGTACGGCTGAAACTTTCAGCTCAGCAGCGGCGGCCGAGCGAGCAACGGAATTCCTTGTGTTCTGTCTCTCTCTCTCCCATCGCAGCAATGGGAATTACTTTCCGCAGTAGTTACGACTCTATTTTTGAGAACTTTGAGAAGATTTTTTTACTGAGTGTTCCTCAAGTATGTTGCTATATCCCCTGCATCCCCAATCTCGAATAAGTACTACAGTTTTTATTATTTTGGCAAATATATACGGCTATTCTGTGCAGCGCGACGTGGTGGCCAAATCGCAAAGTTCGAAGCCTAGATTCACCTTAAAGTAGCAGAATCCACCTCATCAATTTTCTATCTCTCCAGTCAAGTTGCTAAAGGATGTTAAATTCTCAGAGTTTCCATATTGATGGCCAAACTGCGAAACCATACATGTCTGTTTGCGATGTTGCATACTTCCTGTCTTACTTTATGTGTCTTTGGAAAACTAATCAATGTAACTTTTTGAGAACGTCTTTGATTTTTCCTCTCTGTTGACAGAATATATTCTACATAAATTTCAAGCCATAAAGTTGGCTTGTTTCTCTCCGAAAAAAGAAAATAGGATCCGAAATTTTGAAACACTGCAAGGAGATACAGGGTGTACCAAAAGTCCGTCCCACCCCTGCTAACTTTTGAACGAATTGAGCTAGGGTAATGAAACTTTGAGAATGTTCCTATCTCAAAGGGGACCATCTTTTGGGGGGGTCAAAATTTTGGTCCCCCCTCAGGGGGGGCGCGCGGGGCCCCCAACTTTTTTTTTTCAAATGGCAACCCCTATCTTGTGATACATCATNTGACGTATTTGGGGGTCCGAGCCCCCCCCTTAAAATTACAGCGAAGTGATTTCTGCAATTTTTAAGTAAAAGCGGACACAATTTGGTAAATTTTCCCGTTTTATTTTTTTCTTTACGATAATTTGAACCGGAGTTATGATTTTTTGAAAATAGGTCAAATTTGACCTTTGACCTATCATAACTCGGTCAAAAATTAAGATATTGATCTGCGGTTTGCGCCAAAATTCTTAGCTTTTTATGCTCTTTCGAATGATGTATCACAAGATAGGGGTTGCCATTTGAAAAAAAAAAGTTGGGGGCCCCGCGCGCCCCCCCTGAGGGGGGACCAAAATTTTGACCCCCCCAAAAGATGGTCCCCTTTGAGATAGGAACATTCCCAAAGTTTCATTACCCTAGCTCAATTCGTTCAAAAGTTAGCAGGGGTGGGACGGACTTTTGGTACACCCTGTATGAATTGGCCATTGATTTTTTCGTAGAAAATCTAATTTTTCCCTCATCGCCAAGTTCTTAAAAAAATCCATCATATGTATTTTTCCATATCCCAGGTCATTAACAATTCTGTGAATCTTGGGTAGATCATAGATTTTTTTAGTTTAAAATGAAGAGTTTCTTTTTTATAGAACTAATCCTCATCTCGCCTTTTCTTTTTTAGGGTCGTGTTGTAGAATGTGTTCATTGTGGTTGTCGTGGATGCTCAGGATAAGTGATCAATGGGACGAATACTAAACTCCTCATTAAATACATCAGCTTTCAAGGTTGTAATTTCAAATGATAAAAAAAAGTCATTTTTGAATAATGAGACTCCATCCTGCAAGTTTCTCCAAGTTTACCAGACTTTCGTATATTACACGAAATTTTTTAAATCAGAATGACCGTTTGAATACCATCATGTTAAGTCACGAACATCCAGCAATCAAAACTCGTCATCTTCAAAATCGCAGCTCTCATTAGCGGATTCACTTAACCCTCAAATTAACTTTGTCTCCTCTTTGATTGTGCTCTCAATTTCTCTCATGATTTTCTATCCTTGAAATAATATTTTCTTACTTATCATATTTGCAATAGGTCTGTTACAAAGTTTTTCCGAAGCAAGAATAAGAGTAGTTTGAGAGAGATATTGCTCTAAAATCAGGATGAACACATCTGGCGAGTCTGACATTCCCTCCTTACTTCACAATCTACTCAATAAATTTGCGCATTTTTTAGCCTCCTGCTTTCAAAGGCATACTATGACAAAGGCATGATTTGATTTAGATGAGTCCCTACTGTTTTACAACTTTATGCGAAACTCAAACTGCTGCCATGCTTCGCAGTTTTTTAATCAAGAACCACATCAAAAGGTCATTAATTCAACATCTTCACTCTCCTAATTTCCAAGGTAAATTCAATTATTAGAGAGTATTTTTGTGTCTGTTTTTATTTCAGGAACTGTGTCACATAACGGCAGCCAATTTCGCTGTAAGAAACCAAAGCAACGCACCTGTGTCCATTCATGTCTTTGCTGTAGTATATTTTTTAAATCAGGAAGCTCAAAAATATGCGAAATTGCACACGCAGATTGTGAGGCACGGAGTAAATTTTAAATTTCATTCTTCTCTTTGAGCCATTTTCCATGAGAAACAACTCCTGTCATCACTCCTGAAAAAGTTTATGACTCACTTATCACATAATTGTTGGACTTCATGTTGATCTCTCACGATCGTTTATTATATCTAACCCTCTGAAACGAAGCACCCAAGTTCTTTTGGAGAATCTTCATCAGTAGCATTTTTCGTAAACTTTTGACACTCATTATTGTTTATTAAATCCATAGATTCACCATTGGTTTGTTCTGTTTTATTACTGTTCGAAATTTTGCCTATTTTTCAACAAAGACTCTTAAATAAACATGGATTCATCTCTATTGTTTCTTTTCATTCAAGAGTTTAATTTCATGCACATTCCGGTTCGATTATTTATATCAGTTTACAGTCCGAGGGATTCAATGTAATCAGGTTAAATTATAAAATAGAGAAGGCTTCGAGAGTAAGATTTTAGTCATTTCTCATGTACCAACAGTGAAACTGCAGGAACTTGTATCACCGTTTGCTGCGTCGCAGACTTCCTGACATACTTTTTTTTAAATAGAAAAATATCCAAGGTCATTTTTTGGAAACTTCCAGGATTTTTCTTCTCTACATAAAGAATATTCTGTGAAAATTTTAAGCATAAGTGACGATTTGTTCTCCTTTGATAAGTAAACTGAGAGCGGAGGTTTAAGAGAACACAGCAAACGAGAAGTGCAGCTTCCTCATCAATATGCCTAATCTGAATAGTTTGATTAACAATGGTCTCAGATATGCACGTGCTTCTTCTGGTAGGTATCACTCAGAGAAACAAACGCATCCATAATTATGTGGCCTCTTTCTGAAAAACTTCTCAAGTGTGCAAGATGCGAAGGATGGTAGAAAAAAGAAAAATATCAAATAATTCATGGAACTACATTTAATTAAATCATTTTTAAAACTTACAAATAATTAAAAATAACTATATAATAAATCCATAAAAATACATATAGTATCTATGTTTACGATACCCCTAGTGAGATCAGTATGGTCAATAAGTCCGAGACTCATTTCTAATTTGTTCCCAGAAAATTGAATGGTAGTAAGTGGAATCACCGTTTTCCATTAAAAATATGGACTTTAAAACTACAGCATAAAATAAAGACTGAACTTAACACCGTTGTATCTACGGTAACATTTTTTTTAAGCTCGCACATTAATACATCACATCGTTGGAAGGCATGTCTTGAAAGCTCTGTGTTGTTCATCTAGAACTACCTTAATCTAAAATGAGTAAAAACTGCAGAAAAATAGAGTGTAAAAATTCCATAAATTTAATTTTGAAATAGAGTTTGGGGTGCCCGATTTTTTCAGTCGATAGAAAAATGTAGACCAAGCAGAAGACTTATGAAAGCCACTCCCCTCGGTGAAAATGAAAGTTTTAACTTTTTTTAATGTTCCTCAGTCAACATGAGTCTCTTTAAAAGGAAAAAATTCCTATAAAATACTAACGATTACAATAAAACGTGATGGAAAATTCGTAAAATTGCAAGTGGAAATACACATTTTTTTTTTTTTTAATTTCACTGATATACCTCCAAGTGGAAAATAATTTATCCGAGTCCCAAACGAAGAAAACTTCATGACAAGCGTAATAGAGTACATTACAATTCTATGCAATAAATTTCCAAACAATTAAAAGAAAGAAAGAAAGAAAGAGGAATTTCTAGAAAGAGGAATGAAAGACTTTGGAGCAATTTTTTTAGCTAATATCAGACTCTAATATTCAGCTAGGAAACTATCACAATTAAACAGGTACCTACATTTTCTCTTCTTCATTTGATTATTTCAAAAAATTAAAAAAAAATGCAGCAACTTTATCATCTCTTGCAGCAGAGATAGATTTTCCCAAGAAGCGCAGATTCTTCCAAATAAGTAAATAAGAATAAAAAAACAACCAATAACAAAAAATAAGAATCAAACTAGAAGGAAAAATAACAAGAAAATAGGGAAAGAGAACAAAATTAAAACATCACAATTCTAAATGACAGTGAACCATTGGATCAAAGCAGATATGATCTCTTCTTAACAAAATACATACATTATTTTATGAGAGATGCACTTTAACTACATCTGCAGAATGATGTGATACCTAATCCTCGACTTTCGGAATAATGGTATGCATTTGCAAAAACTTGAAAAAAGAAGATGCATAACTTTTAACATCAAGTTGATAGTAGAAGTATTGAAAGGAGCTTGTAAAAGGAAAAATCTTCTGTTTGGTAAATGATGCACAATTCGATTTTTCTTCCCTTGCTTGGTTTTGTATTTTAAATTTAAAGGACAAATAAGAGGGAAAAACGTAAAATCATTGCACTGCCAGCAATAAACAGATAATATCTCATTTGCGAGCAAAGAAAATGTTAAAGGCTAAAACAAAAAATACTTCAATGTCAAATTTTTCATTACGTCTACCTTCAAAATGAGGTATCCACTGATTTTTAATGATAATGGTATCTGTAGTAAATTCCTTACTTGTAAACACGAATGGAAACTATAAGTGGACGAAATTCGTATAAATCAGCCTTGACTGCATTTCACATTGCCCAGTTTCTTTTTTGATTTTCGAACAGCCAACTTAACTACCTAATGTCTTTGAATATCTGGATATTTTTTCTAGAGCTAGATTATGAGGAATATACTAACAAAGAGCTCGCCCAAGAATATACTTTAGGTTTCAGCGTTGCTTAGATTTCTGTTCAGAAAATAAAACACCAGAGAAAGTAAGGCAACGTCTGAAGTAGTTATGCTGGAGGGGTGCAATTCATTGATTTTTCAAAAATAGGGTAAAGATACATTGATTCAAAGACTGTCAAGAAATATATGTACTTCCCTTGTTTTACTTCTCTTCCTAAGGTGATGTTACAACTCTGCATAACGCAAAATATTCTCACTACAGAGGGTGAAAGCTCATTAAGAGCAGATTTTCTCTCTTTAAGTTGTGCTATTTGGCGCTGGGCCTCAAAAGTTGATAACTTGGAACTATTGTTGCTCCAAACACCATAACTTTGAGAGGAAAAATGTGCTATCAAAGAGTTTTTTCTCTCTATAATGACAATACTATTAATAATTAGGTCACTGCCTTACCATGGCTATGATCATATGATCACTAACTACTGCATACTCGATTGAGTCTCTTCGTCACCTAAACTGGTGGTACAGGAATTGAAAAACCCTAAATTATCACTTTTTACTATTCGTACTTTGACTAGAATTCAGACCTTGAAATATCTAGGGATGGAGGAACACAATACATGACAACAAAAATATGAGAGCAAATTTGACATTGTCAACATAGCTGCAAGATACAAAAGGTAGAAAATACCTTCAAATGCTGACAATATAATTCCAGGAAACAATACTGCAGCACTTTCATTCCATAAAGATGAAAATTCAACAAGAATAAAAAGTTACTTTAGTTCGTTTAATCTTTGTTATAAACTAGAGAAAAACATTCCGCTTCCATTCTTATGATGTTTCCGAATATTTTCAGAATTTCATGGTAACTAGAATAAAAATGGCCTACATAAATATAATCTTATACCCAGCAGCAATAGTTTATGTCATTCTTTCAAACTCATTTTAAGAGCGTATACATGAGGAAATTAAAAACTTACTATATTTGTTCCAAAATTAGATGAACAAACAGCGTAATTGACAGCAAACGCAATCTAGTTACTTAAAGTAATTTGCTAATTCATTAAAACACAAAAATTCTTACCCAATTAAGTATGATATAAATTTTTTTTTAAACTCGAAGTTGAGTTTCGCGTCAAAAAATGTTTCTTCTTCCTTATAGGAATTGAAATCTAGTAGAATCACACCCAAATGCAATTGACAGGTGATAATTAATTTACTTCAAAGTGCTAAGGTGACTTGTGCAGGAATCTGGAAGCCACATGTATTGTCTTATCTCCAATTCATCAGAGGGAGCGCAGTGAGGTGTCCTCACCTTCAAACTTTTACAGATTTCCTTCATTTTCTGAAAAAAAAAAAACGAATATGTACTTAAATTAAAAGATTGTCTAGACTTCTAGCTAATGCTTCGGTTTAAAACTAACATTATATACAATACTCCCTGTATTGAATATGAACTCAGTTGTTCAGTCATTTCCCACGAGAGGGAGCAAATCTTTGTTGCACTGTTTCAGTATTTTCTACTTACATTATATGTATTTTGTAGAAGGAGAATTCTTGCATGGATTTGCCTGAAGTTTTCAGAGATTCTTCTTGACACAAATGAGAAAAGACACTCGAATTTTCGAACAAATACCTGCGATGATTCTATGAAAAAGTAAAATGTCTGCAGAAATACTCAAACAACGCAGAAAGGAGACAAAGATTTGGTCAAAAGTATACAAGCAACACCCATTTTAAGTTTATTTCATGCTTATCAATAACCAAATGCAGAAACCGCTCATCTCTTGCTGTGATGTTGCCAACTTCCCATCACATTTCAAAATTTTCAAGAGTTTCTTTTATCTTCAGAAAATTCTATGAAAATTTCAATCAATTGAGTTTGAGCATTCCCTCGAGCATAGTGTTGAAGAGTTCTCAATTGCTTCATTCCCTCTAATTTCCCTCACTTTCCCAGATTTCCAGCACAAACTTTCCTCTTGATAACCCTATGTTTGCTCTCATTGAAATCAAGATTTCTTGCGCTAAAACTAGATTTATCTCCTGGATTCAGAATAATTAATCAACTTTTTCATCTTTGGCTTAATTCTTCATAGCCAAATAAATGACAATCACCCAATTTAAAGCAAAATAGATTTCGGATCAGATGATGTTACACCTTTGTGACACAAAACGCTCACTTACCTCTTTATTTTCATGAGATACGACATTGTGATCAACAATTCTTTTCGGATAGTCTCGACCAATAACACAATTTGCATGCTCTTGAACTTCCAATGGTGCCCTCCACGGCTCATAAACATACTCAACCGGCATTTTCTGCAATTCTGGTACATAACGCCTGTAAATCAAATTAAGGCACCTTAACATTATTTGCTAATGAATGGGTACTATAAATAACTAAAGTACAAGTTGAAGAGCAACTTTGGAAATTAAGAGTTTTTTTTTTTTTTTTTTTTTTTTTTTTTTTTTTTTTTTTTACATTAAAGCTTGAATTTTTTAAGTTATTATAACTTTCTTTAGAAAAACTATGAAGCCTAATTTAAAAAATCTAGTGGAGACGGTAGAATGAATATTAAAAAAAAATTGATGGGAACATGCAACTTTCTGTTTCTTGGCTGATAACTTAAAATGAAAGAAACGATGATTACAAGAAGTCACAACTAATGCTTTGTTTTAAAACAGAATAATTGTTTTTGTGTTAAAAGCCAAAGGAGACGAAACAATTTATAGGGTAGTAAGGATGTTCTCAATATTTCGAGAGTTGCAATAACAGCTAAGGTACTTCAAATAATCCTATCAGAGGTACTCACTTGACAAACTCTCCGTACGGATCAAGTCGTCGGCCATAATTAACTGGACAGATACAAAAATTGCAATCCAACAACTTTTCAAAAGCAGAGCTTGAGACCCACATCCAATTGCCAGCGCAAACAGACCAATCAGCATCAAGTAGGTAGCGTAAAAAATGGCGAAGGCCTTCTTCCCAGGATATCCAAAGATCTCCTCGAGTTAAGAAACTTGAGACAGCATTACGTCCGATGTGATGAATCCAACCCTCCTATAAATAATTTAATAATTTAAATAGGTTTCTAAGCCTTCATATAAATACAGTATGGTATATATTGGATTAAGATTAACACTCTGTATATAAAAAAAAAATAAAGCTGCCGCTCCCTTCAAAATTTCTTAACTTTCATCGGGTAAACTTGTAACACAATCAAGGTGAAGTCTAATGATTGAGAGCCTTTACTTCCAAAACTGCCCAACTCAGACAAAACGAAAATTTAATTTTATGGCAGAAAATTTATTTTTAGATTCATACGCACCTTTCAATTTTATTTTTTATTTTTATTTTGATACGATAGGTACGAGTTCAATTTGTTTCGGATAGAGCCTATCGAGAGAGCCTAGGTTTAAAAAGTTCATACTATTTATGATGAAAGAGACAAAATGTTTTAAATTGTTTGCAATAGGGCTCTCTTTGGAAACTGAACAAAATGCCTCAAAAAACTTTCCATTCGCTAAAAGTTGTCGGCTGGATTCAGTTTTTCCGTTTTTCAGAAATCTGGTTTTCGTTTCTTCAGTTTGACTTGTTGCAAAACAAGCTTTTCAATTGTCTCTAGCACAGAGTAAACTACAACAAAACTATGTGCGAGCTACTACCAAAGGGCAAAAAATTATCTACCTAGAGGGAGCGTTCAAATTACCTGTTTTAATTGTCGCATTAAGGCATCAATGAATGGGTAGCCAGTTTTTCCATCTTCCCATGCCTTGAGATTGGCCTTAGCTGTCTCGTCTTTCACTGATGACCATGGGATGTTCAGACAAACAGGGTTCCGTGCCATTTCTGCGTAGTACTTATTATCAACAGACATGGTGTAGAAATATTCTCTCCAGATAAGTTGACTTGTGATGTTGGAGTTGGATGGCATGTTGTGAACATCGCTGAATGTGTCATGAAGAGCCCAGAAAAACCTTGCAGGAAAAAATTTCATATTTGATGAGTTGAATGCAGGGTTGCCACAGAATTTAGAAAAGGAAATTCCCTGATTTCCCTGACACATTATGGTAAAATTCCTTAAGAAGACATAATTGAAAATAGTTTCCAGACATTTGTTGTTCGAAACCTCAAACCTATACTAGAGAGCAAATTAAGGTGATCTAACAAAATTGCCCTGACATTTCCTGGTATTCCCTGACTGTGTCAACCCTGTGAATGGTTTCCTTTACTAACCAGAAGGAGGACAGTGAGAGTATAATTTTTTTAAGAAGAAAAATGATGAATTGTGCTGAATCTGATTATGAAGTTGTTAGAGAACTTGTGGGGAGACAATTATCGTACTTTTCAAAATTATACAACACCAAAACTGTCCAGATCTCCTGAACCTCTTTGAGAAACACGCTAAAATGCTTTAAAAAGCATTGGTGATTTGACGCTGAACAACGCAACAAGAATAGGTCTGAGTTTTGAGCCAAACTTTGCAATAACGATAATGTTACAAGTGTTAGAAATAAATGTTTCCTGGGACTGGCACCAGCATCGCCAAACTTTAACAGCAGTCTTTTCGTTTATCATTTTCATTTAAATTCATCCACAACTTGTGCAGTCTGTTCCTTATGTTCAGTGTTCGAAACTCACCTTGGAGTTTTAGGAGTCATGTGGCACATCAAGCTCGATTTTAGGGGCCAAATTGACTTTTTGCCTATGTATCACGGCGCATTTAGTGACAATTTAAACGCAAGATGTTTTAGTTACAGAACTAGTATCTGTTACTTGAGGGAAATTTCGAAAAATCACCAAACAGAAAAACTAGGATTTTTTTACCAAGGGGGGGGGGGTTGGGCAATTTTTAGGGGCCACGATGGTGCAGAGCCTTCATTTGTTAGGCGCCATGACCAATTTCTTTGGCACATTTGGCGGAATGGCACCTGTGGGGTTTCGAATACTGCTTATGTTTTAATTTTGAATGGAGGAGATCTTCTACTATTTTTCTGTATCAAAATAATGAAGACATTGAAGGGACTATTTTTCTTTGTACATCTTTGCAAATTTTACAATTTGCAAACTTCAATCCCCGCATAATGATGAACCAAATAGAAGAAACACCGTTATCTTAGAACAACTAAATTGTAAATTTCAGGAAGAGAAATGAATGGTCTAGGTTTAAAGGTAGGTTCTTGAATGTAGGGAAAATCAGAGTGTGTACATACTTCCGAACAGACAAGCATCCATATCTCAATGCTGCAGACTGACTTGTCGGGGGACCAAGCAAATCCGGCTGAGTTTGGTTCGGTTGACAAAATCCTTGTCGAAAAGCTTTCTCCTCCACAGCGATTCTCTTCCGCAAATTGGACAGAGCTTGATTTTCCCCGCCGAACCATTCGATAGTGTATTCCGACTGCTTCAATTCCGGTTTGAGGTTAAAATCGGCTGGAACAGGAATCTTGTCTCTGACCTAAACAAAATTAGATTTTATAAAATTGTCTGGTCAAGAAAGAAGCATCAAGGAAAATACATTTTAAAACAGACATGGTTCCTGACTTTGGATGGATAGTTACCTAAATTGACTTATCAGCTACACTCTGACCAGCATTTTAAATAGAGCTGAAATTTTTGGAAAATCTTTAGGGAAACAGCCTAAATTTTAGAGAGCTTCATTAGGGGTAATCAAATACTAGAATGCAAAAACCTTGGCATATTAATATTGAAATTGACAAGTGCTACCTATACATTGGTTTTAAGAACTGCAGCCTGATTGTTAAAATTTTTTGTTTGTTGGGGCGACATAGATGAAATAGGTCAAAAGGCGGAGCGTGATTGGTCGGCTATGTCTTATCGCTGCTTTGTCATGCCTATGTCGGGTTGAACTGACGACAAGCTGATGGCACTACTTATGTTTCCGACAGTATGTTGTCCATTCCACCTGACAAAGGCACGACAAGGCAGCGACAATACATAGCCGACCAATGCTCTGCCTTTAAACCTATGTCATCTTTGTCGTCCCGACAAACACAAAATTTTAACAATCAGGCTGCTGAATGCAGAATTCATATTTTGGATCTGGACTTTTTTTTTAATCTAGATTGATCCAAAGATATCCATTTAACCGATTAAGAGACTACAGCAGTTCTAATATGATTCTACTGTTAATCAAGAGTTTTGGGTATAACAGATGTTTCTATTTGTTCTCCTTCTTCTGTTTTTCCTTACAGGTCCTAGTAGTATTATCTGTCAATCGGCGAGCTGCATCATCTGTGGATTGTGAGATGAATGAATGGAGAATCCGGATGTGATTTGAATGGTCTAATGATATAAGATTTCACATGTTGACCCGTTGTTGATTCCACTCTTCAATCAACCAGCAAATTGTTATACACTTGAATAAGATAAAACAAAAACTCACATCAAGTTCACGCTTCAAACTATCTGGTAGCACACCAAACTTTATTCCATCCCAACAAGGATCCTCAACCGGTCTCGGTGGAGGCCCAATCACAGACACAGTGTGCTGTAACATCAAAAAACAGGTGAGATTTTAAAAGGTGAAAAATTTAAATTTTTCAAATGATTCACCTAAAAAAATAAAAAGACAGAGATTTGTTTTAGCAATGCCTTGAACGCCCTTTAAAACTTTCCAAATAGTAGAAAATAAAACGATGGAATCACTTAAAAACATTTAATGAGGTAACTGTTCGAAGGTAAAATTTCTATGATCTAATTTCAGAGTCCACAACGGCCTTAGACCACAAGAAATATTTTTGAGGTAAAGACTCAACCCTATGTTTCACCTCCCTACTCTAGTTCCTTCAAAACAAGGCCTGTCGTAAACTATAAAAAAAAATTTCAGGGGTTTGAGGGACTTTTCATACTTCTCCATTGAGTCATTCCATGTCAACTCAACGAGGTTTTGAACCTTGACCTCTTGGATCATATTCAAACTTGGTGTGCTGTAAGTTCCTATTGAAAAAAAAAATATTCCCCAAATTTTAGGTCATTTGGTCGCACCGGAATTTCAAAGTTTGCAAAAAATTGAGTTTTTTTAGGGCCAATAAAACTTTGAACGGCTGTTCCGTGAAATTGGATGTGTGCATTTCCAATAGTGCCATAGATTCATTTGCTGTTTCCTGTGCGTGCCGTTAAAGAAAAACTTATGCAACCATTTTTTTCTTAGTTTTCATTTCATCCATTACCAAATGTCACCGTTATTCCAACCGATGTGTTGGTGAGCAATACCATGATTAGGTTGGCATCAAACTTCAAATCACACTATATTTAGGTTCTAATGTGGAGAGGTTGGGCATAGAATAATAGCATAGAGTACATAGAGTCGAAATGTAAATAGGAGAGCTGGCGCCATGTTCTGCTCGACGAGTTCCGAGCCCAGTAACCGCAGTGCTACAGTCACTTTTTCGATACATGTTCGATCTAAAATGGCAGTGTGGAATACGTGTTCATTCCTATCTTCTTTGTTTACATCGGATGGCCGGGTACCTGTGTATCGCAAACAATCGATTATGTATCGAAAAAGTGACCCGGCATCACACAGGAGTCTTTGAATTTGGGACCTGGAAAATGCTAAAAAGTGGCGCCAGCTCTCCCCCTTACATTATAACTCTATGTACTCTATGAATAATAGCTACCAGAAAGACAGCAGTCGCCCATCTTTGTTCCGATGCTTGAGGTCCTAGCAACCCCTGCTCACCCGTTTCAACTTTCACAGGGAATTGCATTCAAGTGCGGCCGCTCTCACCCTGCATCTCTCTATCGTTTCACATTTTGCGGGAAATTGTCTGCTGCAAAAAAGTGACTAAGCACAATCTTACAGGAGAAACTACCAGTTGCCTTTCTGGTAACAATAATTCTACGGCTAGGGTTCAAATTATTCATAAAAAGCTCAGAGAAGCAAATTAAAATGTAAAATAATACTTACAAGAAACATAGAGTACGTTAATGGTGGTGAACCTCCGTTTGTGTCAATTATTTCTCTGGGGTCCCACAATGTGTGCGAGATACTTTCATCCCAAATGATATCCAAATCGTCGCACAATTTTTTCACAGAATTGTCTCTTGCTTGCCAAATAGGCTCACAATCCTAATTGAAAGAGACAAAGAATCCAGATCAGAAAAATAAAAGGCTGACATAAGGTATTTCAAAATATACTTTGAAAGATAAAACAAAATGTATTATTTACAAGAACAAGTGAGTAAGAGTGACGGACCTCATGTTGTTACACCTCTAGCATCACTGCTTTACACATCTGATTTTGTGCTTGAAAAAAAACTGAAACCTGAGTGCAGGCATAGGATAGACACGGATAATAAGCCACATAGCGCACACCTAAAATGTTTTAAATTATGTTGAATGTTTTAAATCCGAACTAACTTCTGAAGGATTGCCTGATTAAGATAGTTGTATTACCTGCTCAAAAGTCAGTTTGTAGAAATTGAGATGAGCTTTGAATTTTGCGAAAATTTCAATTGGTGACCCGAAGAAGACGTAGAGCTTTCCTCCTTTGGCTCGAAACTGATTATCCAGATCTTCTAGAGACTCTAACAAAAACTTCATCCGATTGTAACTAATGAGTTTGGTGCCTGTTTCAAAAAAATACAAACAAAAGTATACTATATTTGCTAAACAAAACATATATTTAACAAGAATCTTAATTCAAAAAATAAAATTTAGTTTATTTTTTAATTGATTGTTGAATGTTGATCAACTGATCAATGCTAGTTGTAATTATTTTGCAAATTGAGAGACTCTACTATTATGAGTTACTCTTACCATTATACTATATTGAGAGACGCAACTAGAGACTCTAACAAAAACTTCATTTGATTGTGACTGATGATTTTGGTGCCTGATTCAAATAAATACGAACAAAAATATACTATATCTGCTAAACACATACATACACTGAAAATAGGTATTAAATTGCTGATTTAACAATTTGATTGCTAAAAAAAGTGACTGCAATGTTTCAATGAAGATTTTACAACATTAAAATGCTTCTTTAACCACCCCCGTGGTTAAATTAACTTACGATAGCGGTTAAAGAAGCATTTTTTTGTTGTGAAATCTACGTTGAAATATTGCAGTCACTTTTTTTAGCAGTTGAATTGTTAAATCAGCAGCTTAATTTTTTCGGTGTATATTTAAAAAGAATCTTAATTCAAAAAATAAAATTTAGTTGATTTTTGCATTAATTGGTGAATATTGATTAACTGATCAACCTTGATTGTAATTTTTTGGCAAAAGGGCCCCTCTCAACAATTAAGACGCATTTGACATGGATTCTCTCATCCATAAGGAATATCTCCCTGCCGCATAGATGCTATTAGTGGCACATCTCAGAGAAGCGATATATATCGATTTTTTCGCATTGGTAGCATTGAAAGAGGTTATGCCACTGTTATTGTTTGGATTCACTTCGATACAATGGAGAATCCCTATGATGACGTCACTAATAACGTCTATTGGGGCAAATCACCTTTCTTCCAAGAGTGTACATTTCTCTTAGGTTCATCAGGGCTCTAATTACTGACCCTGTATAGATCTTGGAGCGTTGCCTACAAGAATGGAGAGGCCGTAACTACGTTCTTGTGACGTCACGCTGGTAGATGGAACTCGGCCACGGTTTAACATGGGTTCTTATGGGAGAGCGCCTGACACGGTTTCCTTTCGAGCCGATATCTTCTCGCGGGTTGATCTGATGCAAAAATTCATACAAACCTTTTCGGAAGAGGATAAAATTTCACTCCAGAAAACTAACAAATCCATTTATGACATTGTCTACTAATCGAGGAAATGAAAAGCTTGATACCAAAAATCGTTACTCCACTCAGATTCAAACGTGCCGCTCACACAAGTTCGGCCGTCGAGGGCCACTCTGATTGGTCCACGCAGCGATTGCCTCACTCATCAAAGCACCGATGACCTGGAGATGCTAGTTGTTTTTGGTAAATATCTACTAGCTTGACGTCACAAAACTGACTCGGTACAGCCTCTCCATTCTCGTAGGCAACGCTTGGAGCTCCCTTCCCCTCATCCATTAGAAGATGATCCCCTTCAGCTAATAGATTACAGCACTCCAAGGAATTAAAAAGGAAAACTTATCTCCTTTCAACATTAGGGCAGAGTAACCCTGTCCATCAAGGTAGCAACTCTGTTGACCCTCTAATAGATGCATCCTCTCTTGTTGGGGCGAAGTTCCCCTAACCTTCAGAGTGGCGATGAACTAAAATAAATGATGCTGGAAGTGACCTAGGGAAAATTGTGAGTACATATGTGCTGTTCAGAATTACTTACCAGCACTTTCTCCATCAAAAATAAATATAGGATAAAAGATGTCTGTATCCTCGAGAGCCCGCAGTAGAGCAGGATTATCATGAATTCTCAAACCATGGCGAAACCACAAGACCGACACCCTTGGGCTCCTGTCTTCAGACATGATGACTGGGGCTATCTAAAAACAATTGGAGAGACAACCCGTTAGAAAACAGTACGCAAATGTAGCCTCATACGATAAAGATTTGAAGAATAAATACAAACACTTGCTGCAGAGAGCAGAGATGCAAGATTCCCTTCTTTTCAAGGACTAATACTTATTAAAAATCATCTGAGAACGGATGATGGATGAGCTAAACGACAGATATGCTCCTTAGACTTTGCTAGCATGAGAAGCAGATTGAAACTTTTACTCAGAGAAACAATTTTATCATCACTTGACCATATGTATCCAGTAGTTTAGCAAAGATCGACACAGATAAGAAAAGTAAATTTGAGACCTATCACTGACTTGGATTCTTCTGCTTCTTCATAACTTGTAAAATACATACCTGGTTATCCAGCTATCAGACCCACAGAAAGATTCAACAGATATATACGTAGTTTGTATGACTGGATATCGGATCGATTGGCATTCCACAGGTTTCTTCAGACTCTTCTTGACTTCTTATCAAAACGGGGGCTACTGATATCATATCAGAGCATTAGCGCAGCCGATGTACACGTGCCATCTCCGCAGTTCCAATTCCTTGTCTTCAACTTTCGGGATTGTCAAAAGCAAAACCCAAAAATATCGATAATTTCCCGAAAAATTTTGCCTCCGAAGAAAGAATATTTCAAAAGCGCATTGGTGATAGTTTCAGTCAGTTGGACGAGGAATAGAGGAGAAAAAATGTACAAATGAAAAATGACTGATTGATCGTATTGACGATTTGCGTGCTCAGTGAACCTACGGCCTATGGCTTTTGCTTTTCAGTCGTATGTCTACAGGGTGTTCCAAAAATCCAGCCCCCCCCTTCTAACTTTTGAACGGTTCGAGATAGAAAAATGAAACTTTGGGAATGTGCCTATCTCAAAGGGGACCATCTTTTGGGGGGTCAAAATTTTGATGGGCAATTTTTTTTTTTTTTTTTTTTTTTTTTTCAAATGGCAAACCCTCTCTTGTGATACCTCATTCGAAAGAACATAAAAAACTAAGAATTTTGGCGCAAACCGCAGATCAATATCTTAATTTTTGACCGAGTTATGATAGGTCAAAGGTCAAATTTGACCTATTTTCAAAAAATAATAACTCCGGTTCAAATTATCAAAGAAAAAAATAAAACGGAAAAATTTACCAAATTGTGTTCGCTTTTAAGTAAAAATTGCAGAAATCACTTCGAACTAATTTTAAGGGGGGGGGGGTCAGGACTCCCAAATACGTCAATTCCAAGGTCATTCAATTTTCCCGCGAAATTAGCCAATTTCCCCTAGATTTGCCTCCACATTATCTCAGTAAGGTCAAAATCAGTTCGACGTTAAGTTTGGTACTTCCCCAAAGTCCGGGAAGAGTTAAAAAAAACGAAATTTAAGGTGATTAAATTTGACCGTTAAAATTTCGTTTTTTTGAACTCTTCCCGAAATTTGGGGACTTGCCAACATACTGTTGAACTGATTTTGACCTTACTGAGATAATGTGGAGGCAAATCTAGGGGAAATTGGCTAATTTCGCGGGAAAATTGAATGACCTTTGAATTGACGTACCTATTTGGGGGTCCGAACCCCCCCCCCCTTAAAATTAGTTCGAAGTGATTTCTGCAATTTTTACTCATAACTCAGTCAAAAATTAAGATATTGATCTGCGGTCGCCAAAATTCTTAGTTTTTTATGTTCTTTCGTATGAGATATCACAAGAAAGGGGTTGCCATTTGAAAAAAAAAATTGCCCCCCCCCCCCCCC